TTCCCTTGTTCTCTCATTACTCCTCTTCTTCCTCATTTCTCCTTCTATTTATGTTCTCCATTTTCCAGACCCTGCTGTCATGTCTCCTGCCTTGCTATTGGCCATTTAGCTCTTTATTAGGACCATCAGGTGTTTTAGACAGACAAAGAATCACAGTTTCACAGAGTTAAACAAATGCTGCATAAACAAAAGCAACACAGCTTAAAACAGTACTCCCCAACAGAAGTAGAACACTATACCACAGAATTTAAGTGGGAATATGAGGAGTTCAAGGCACTGTTTCTAAAATGCAAACAGGGCAAGCAAGATGGTTGTTGGCTGGGTAAATGAGCCTGCTAAGCTTGAAAATAAGAATTTGATCCCCAGGACCCATATTGTAAAAGAAAAGAACTGACTTTGCAAATAGTCCTCTGGCTTCAATCATGGTGTGGTTATAACACACACACACACACACACACACACACACACACACACGCACACACTGAATATACTTTTTCAAAGGCAATCATTTACTAGAAAGCACATGTGTAGTCTCATGAAGATATCTACCTCTGGGCTCCTGACTTTCTGAGCAAAATACCCTTAAGATCAAAGAAATGCTCTTGTCTGAGGTCTGGGAGGTGCATGGGAAGCTGCTGAATGGGTCTTTTCTCTCATGGATCTTTTTATAGCACATCACTCCTGACAATGATTTCCGGTCGTCACTAGATGACATGTCCTGGTACTTGATCATTGGAAGTCATCTCTTTGTTCTTGTATTGTTCACTGTCCGAGTAAAGTGGAATTGAGACAAGTTTGGCATTGAGGTCCATCACATCCTGCCCTCTTTATAGCTAAGAGTTTGCTTCAGGATTTGTTATTCAGTTTTTCATCACTAGGATGAAATACCTGAGCCACACAACTTGAAGGGAGAGAATCATATTTAGCTCCACAGGTGTTTGCCCGTGGAAGCCTATCAGTTCACTTAGAATCCTGCTAACATCTGCCTGGATTCCCTTTTCATCTGCTCCCCTTCCCAGCCTCTGGGAGGGTGCTGTCCACACTCAGGGCAGGGCTTACTCTCTCCCAGACACAGCAATGTGTTTCTCCAAATTGAAATAGATTAGCCCATAACCCTTTCAGTACTATGCTGAAAACACTCTTGACTAGATTTTACAATGGATTAAGTACATCTTCTTATTTTTATGTTATCATTGACAGTATGTTGGATAGTTTCATGTCAACTTGATACAAGCTCAAGTCACCTGAAAGGAAAGAACTTTAATTAAGAAAATGCCTCCATTAGATGGGGCTGTAGGCAAGGCTATAGGGCATTTTCTTAATTGTGATTGATGGTGGAAGGGCCAACCCACTGTGAGTGGTGCAATTATTGGGTTGGTGGCCCTGTGTTCTACAAGAAAGCAGGTTAAGCAAACCAGTAAGCAGCACTCCTTCATGGCCTCTGTGTCAGCTCTTGCCTCCAGGTTCTTGCTCTATTTGAGTTTCTGTTCTGACTTCCTTCAATGATGAACAATAATCTAGAAGTGTAAGACAAATAAGCCTCCCCAAGGTGATGAAACACCACAACCCTAACTAGAACAACTCAGTACCAGGATAATAAAGTGTTGCCGTGACAGACCTGACCATGTTATTTTGGGGGAGAACTATCAAAGGACTTTGGAATTTGAGCCTAGAAAAGCCATTAAGTGTTGAGAAGTTGTTCTGTGAGAGCTTAGAAGATAAGAAGTTGAGAGCAGTGCAGACAATGGAGGCCTGACTGATGAAGTTTCAGAGGGAAGCAAAGACTCTATCAGGCCATTTCTATGACGAATCTGTGGTCTGGCCAGCTGGGGCTGAAGAAATCAGCTGGGATTAACAAGAGACCAGAACCACTGAAGTAAAACTTCTGCTTTACTGGGACAGTTGATGCTGGGTAGGCGGAGCAAGAAATTTATGGTAGCTGAGCCGAGTGCAGCATCACTGAACTGAAATCTTCTCAACTTGGCGCCTTAGTGTTGGCACAGGGAAGCTGTGTTCCAGAGGCAGCCGAGTTTGTACCTCACACGGACAGTCAAACCTGGTAGTTTAAAAGTCGCCTAGGTGGTAATGGTTTTGAAAGCACGAAGGGGTCATGGAGGGCCGCTGAGACCTGGCAATAGGTGGCAGCACTGGAGTCCCTGAAGAAAGCCCAGGAGAAGTTTTTGGTGTAAGTACAGCCCCAGTTGCAGCAAAAGACCTCATCATTTTATTTGGAGATGCAAGTACCATGGAATGACCATCAAGAACAGTAACAGTTGTGGAGTGGAGACAGCCAAAGCCTCGAAGACAAATTGTATGTGCTACAAAGGGTGGAGCCTGAGAGGTTACCCAAGCCCTTTGAGAAGCACAGAAGATTGTGGGTTGATTCAGGCAATGAATTTGGAGCTATTTACATGGTTGGAGTTTGGTTTGTTATGTTGTGACTATACTCTGGTTCTTACCCTTTTAAAGAAAGTATGTTTGTATTTTATATAGGAGTCATTGCTGACAGTCTTTGGATTTTAAAAGAAACTTTGGGTTTTTGAAAGAGACTGAATATTTAATATGTTTGAATTTATAAGACTGTGGGATTTCTAAGTTTGAAAATGATTTCTAATTTTATGTTTTGATTTCAATATTAATGTATAATCTTGAGGATTAACAAGAGAGGAAAAGTTAGGGTTTATCAGTGATTTGCTTGTATGTCAAGTTGATAAGGGGTCCTTGGTGGTGGACAGTTTTATATTAATTTGGTACAAGCTAAAGTCACTTGAAAGGAGAGAACCTCAAGCAAGAAAAATATTTCCATTAGATGGGACTGTATAGCATTTTTCAAATTAGTGATTGATGGGGAAGGTCCAGCTCATTGTGGGTGGTGCCACCCCTGGACTGGACTGGTAGCCCCGGGTTTTATATAAAAGCAGGCTGAGCAAACTAGTAAGCTGCCCTCCTTCATGGCATCAACTGCACTCTTCCACGACATCTGCACCGGCTCCTGCCTCCAGGATCCTTCCCTGTTTGATTTCCTGTCCTGACATCCTTCACTGATGAACAGTAGTTTAGAAGTGTAAGACAAATGAGCTCCTTCCTCCCCAACTTGCTTTGGTCATAGCATTTCATCAGAGCAATGGTAACCCTAAGACAACCACAACATTGATAAATTTTGGCCTACAACCCATAAGGATCCCAGGTGCTTTCATTGTCATTTCTACCCCTTTCCTTTATATTGTTAGTGACTGCCTCCTGAGAGATATTAGGCAATTCTCCGAAGGCTCTTTAAGCTAACTTGAGCTTTCCTTGGGGATGTTATTGTAATTTGTTTCCAGCTAGAGGTTATTTACTCATTGCTTTGTTGGGTAACAATAATTCCCTCTTCTTCCCACTCCTCTCAAGCCTCACAACACCTTTTCAGTCATGGAAGTTTTCCACAATCTCTCATAGGCCTCCCGACAACACTCCCTGCTGGCCAACATGAGCAGTTTACATAGCAGATTAGAAATGGGCCTTGGAAATCACAAGCTAATACCACTTACACAGTTTTTTGTTTCCTACAGAAATAAGCCAAACTCGGAGTCCAAAGATGCTACAGAAGAGTGTAGAAGCTTGCACACAAGAGTAAATAGGATTGCTCTTAAAAGCGTTAAGGATAATACAAGAACCATAACTATTTTCGATGACTATGTAATGATTATTCCTATAATTATCTTCTCCTAGAATAGATTTCATGTAAGAGCCTGAAAAGACTCGACAATTTCAGACTCCAAAAGTATCAAGCCCAAACAGAACATTGTTGTGAGTGGTTGCTGAAGTCTTGTTTTGGGAACTTAATCACACCCAGTTGGAAGCGAGAAGCATTTATGCAGCTGCTCTGATTCACTGGCATTCTCACTCATAAAGAGAGTTACTCATTTCAAAATCTTTCCAACTGAATGTGGATGTTTGGACTCCTAAGTATTCACAAAAGCTGAACCCAATGATAGCATTGCAAGGAGCATCCACAAAAGTTACAGCTGCATGTTTTCTGTCTGCTAAGTTTAGCCATTAAAACCTACTCAGTTTTATCATGATTAGTCAAGTGGAAATCACATTGTGTGCATACAACTATTCTAAGTAGACAATTTATCCAAAAGTCAGCGTTTTTGTAAAGGGACTAAGTCAATGCCGATGAAAATGCTTAGCATAGAAACACATGAGTACATACATACACAGGCATTTATATGCACACTCACATACACACACAAACTCACACAATCATGTAACAGTATTGAAACAGAACATGTCATTTTAAGTCAGGAATTAGCATAATCCTTTTTTTCTAGTGCTATATTGGTGGAAAATAATGTATACCTCTGAGATGACACCTTAAAGGAACCTCAAATGACAGTTTTCAGAACTTATATATTGACACCTATTAAGGAAATGAGGAAAAGGGTCTTCATTGTAGTCAACTATTACTATATCAACCAAAATAGGACATTTTAAAGAATCACTTAATGAACAAACTCTGATTATTTTCTAATAAATATTAGTATTCACTTTTATTCATTTAATGGTATATGTTGATTCCCACTCTTTTTAAGGTATTGGTAGTCTATTGTCAACCATACAGTACTGGAAAGAATGGATTAGCAAATAATTTAAGACTAATAAGTCCAGTTTAAATTGGCAAAGTAGCCATATTCGGGTTAGGGAATGCCCAGAGTCATATCTACTTCAATAAGTGTACTCTCCTAATCCTTCCCAAATAGTTCCACCAACTGTGGAAATGAGCATTCAAATATGTGAGCCTATAAGGGCAGTTCTCATTCAAACCACCCCCTGAGCCTGACTCTTGCCTAAAATAATCTCACATGCTCAAGAGGTAGCACACCTGTACTATGTCAGCAAGAATCAAAGAAATGCCAATAATAGTCAGATGACTGTGTCTGGTCAAACACTTGGGAGGCCTTTAATAAAGCTTGCCGGATGCCCATTGTGATCTTCTTGTTCCTTCTGTTTCACAGGATTTTTGAATCACATGAACAATGCCAGTCACTTTGTCCTTCAACCATCATTCCAAGGATGCATGCAGCTCATCCAGATAGACGATCAGCTTGTAGATTTGAATGAAGTGGCACGGAGGAAGCCAGGAAGCTTTGCAAATGTCACCATTGACATGTGCGCCATCATAGACAGGTAAGCCATCTGTTGATCCTACCTTGAGTGCTCCAGACATCACAGATTCATATTTCTGTTCCTTGACAGGGAAAGACAAGAAAGAAAAAGATAAACGCGAATGCAAATACTGGGCTTATGAATGGCTGCTGTTTGGGATGCCTACTTTATCTAGTGTATTTGTGCTGTATGCAAAGACAACATTTATATATGTGTGTGTGTCTGTATGGAATATATTTGTATATATATATATATGTATACATATAGTTTGCTTGGTACATGTGTGTGTATGTATTTGTGCGTGTATATATCTGTATACCTGTGTTTATGGAGTATATGTGTGTATATGTCTATATGAAATGTATGTGTATGTATGTATAGGGCATTACATATGCATATGTGAATGTGTCTTTAGATATATGTGTACATATACATATGTGAGCAGAGAGGTGGAGCAATTTGTACCATCACATGTGTCTACTAACTTTGCTCAGGGAATGTGGGCACTGTGCTGGTAGTACTGCGAGCAATGGCTGAACAATGAGGGAAACCCTCAGTTCTCAGTGCTACCTTTCCTTCTACGCTCAGAGGATTCCCATCTCTTCTCAGTTTGTTGTCCCTTCTGAAGACCACACTGTGCTAGATGTGGTCACAAGATACTATTAGCGAGTGAGAGTTAACTGGAACAGACACTTGAAATAATTCTCCTTGCAAAGCACACAAACAGGAATATTAGAAATTAATGTTTATTGGCTTTTGCAAATCTAGGAAGAAATTTTGTCTTTCTGGGTTTGACACTTTCATGCATTATATAACTTAGTTGTTTCCCTTCCCACACCTTCTTTTTTCCCACTTCCTGTCCCACTAAAGCTCTTCTTAGGAAGTCCTCTTCCTAACCGTTTGCCTTCCTCATGCCTGTGTGAATTTACACAGACTAGAAAGGCAAAATGCTTCTATAAAATATAGTATCACATATAATTTCCTAAATCTTAAATACTCTAATTATCAAGTTTGATTTTTATTAGGACTTAATATGTTTCATTGTGAGATATTTTGTCTTTGAAAAGTACATGAAACAACAATTTGATGCTAACCTAGTGAACTGATTTAGTTTTCTCAGTCAATTTCACACATTATAATGAGGGACTATTTTGCACTGAACATTAATTCAATTCATTTCATATTTTGTAAAATGAAAGTTCATGAAAATCACTTTTAAAATTTGTTATAAGACAGGCTGTGAGAGATGACTCAACAGTTAGGAGTCCTTGCTGTTCTTGCAGAAGACATGAGTTCAGTTCCCAATACGCATATCAGGTGACTCACAGTGACTACAACTCCAGCTCCTGGGAGTCTAATGCCCTCTTCTTACATACATGCATGCATACAGTCACAAACACATAAAAATAAATAAAAGAAAGATAGCATGTGTACCTTAGTCTAACATCCCCCACATGCAAACTTCAAAGTTTCTAAGTTGTTTAGTGGAGATCCACAAGCAGCCACCCAAGTCAGCTATGTAGCCCATGAAAAATGTTCTATCATGAACAAGTTCATCTGTACATCATCTTAATAAGTTGGCAGTCATGCAAATGGTATCTTACAAGTTCATAATGACTGTAGTTTATGTTGGCAATGGTTCATAGGAGCTACAGATTATAAGTTTTATTTGTCTGTTTTTTGACACAGAGGTTCTCTGTGTAGCCCCTGCTATGCTAGAACTTGCTCGGTAGACCAAGCTGGCCTTGAATTCAGAGAGCTGAGTACCTCTGCCTTGAGAGTGCTGGGATTAAAGATGCATGCTACCACTGCCCAGCCATAATTTTAAAGTCTGAATATGTTTACAATAGGAGAAAGAGGAACATCCTGTTCATTTATGTTACATCTGTGAGAAGGTTGTTGCTAACAGCCTACACAGTTTATATATAAATAGGACAGCAAACAATTTTGACAGAATATACCCCTAATTTTAGAGACGTTTATAATGTATTAGCTACTATTTCTTGTTGTAAGGAGGGAGGCTGCTTGTTGGTTCCTGGCCACTTAGTCCTGAAATAATCAGACAGAAACCCTATTATTTAAATCACTGCTTGACCCATTAGCTCTAACTTCTTATTAGCTAACTCTTACATTTTAATTTAACCCATTACCATTAATCTGTGTATTGCCATGTGGCTTACCAGCTAAAGTTCTAACATCTGTCCCTGGCAGGGCTACATGGCATCTCTGACTCTGCCTCCTTTCTAGCAGCATTCAGCTTAGTTTTCCCCACCTAGGTCTCTTCCCCTAAAGCTCTGCTATAGGCCAAAATTAGTTCCTTTATTACCCAAAGGTATTCACACCATACAGAGGGGAATCCCACATCAATTTCTGCCAGAACTGCATAATAGTGATAACAAGAGAAACTAAAATAGGAATAATTCAGAGATCTTGTCTGTGATATGAGATACTATCTACATGCTTTCTATAAGGTCACATTTTATAATTTCTAGTTACATGAATATGGAAAGCCTTAGAAATTGGTGATCTTTGTATGTCAGTGGCTTTAATGAGACAGTAACTTCTGTGGAGCTGTCCACTGACCTCACTCAGCTCTGTACACAAGCAGTATTGTTCTTTCATTTCAAATATCACATTCCGACCTATCCTGTTTAAAGTGTTTCTTCCAGAGGAAGGACAGATGATGTTGAACTTCTTATGCAAGCTTGGAGACAGAAGGGTGTTGTTGTCACCCAAAGAGTAAATGAGGGTTCCCTGCCCTGTGGTCAGGGAACCCTTACTGCTCTTTGGACTGGAGAGGGAGAGGGAGAGGAGTGGAGGGAGGGGGAGAAGGATGGGAGGAGGGGGAGGGAAATGGGAGGCTGGGAGGAGGTGGAAACTTGTTTTTTTTTCTCCTTTTCTCAATAAAAAAATGGAAAAAAAAGAGTAAATGAGGTCTGAATAAATGAAGAGAGTACATGGCCATGATCGTGGGTCTTCTACCCCAGTTAACCCAGTCCATATCTCATCATGAAAATCACTTTCTGTCCCCTAGCATTTTTAAGGGCAAAAATGTGTGCCCGTCTCATGATAATTGGTGAGATCAACTCCTTTGTTGACTTAAAATGTACCCAGTTAAAAATCCTAAGCTATAGTATTTTGTGTATATTTTATGTATTATCTAGGCCATGCTCATCTCATTCAAAATCATTGAAGAGATGCTGACAGAGTGACCCACAGCCTAGATGAGCATATGGAGAGTCTTTGCCTCAGCTTCTGAAGCTGCAATGGACAAATGCATCCCTGTAACGTGTGCTTGCTAACAGAAGCTCTACAGCTTCCCGTTATGCACCAGTTCATCTTCCATTTGCCCAAATTCTCCCAAAGGAAGTACATCCTGACTCATGTGTCTCCTTCCAAATTTCAGCCAGACTGAACAGTGTTATTTTTAAAGGGTGAAATTAAAAATGAGAATAGAATGTAAGAAAATAGAAGAGCTGCATCGTCTCCCTGGATTTATAAGCTCTCTGAGTGTATTACCAGCTGCAGTGATGCAATGAGAAGTCAGGGAAGGAGATAAGGAGGATGAATGAGTGTTCCGGAATTTTTACTGAATTTTCTTTCTTCGTGTATACATTTGCATGTGACTCTGTGTTTTCTAGACAGAATGTTGAGTCATGGAAAGATCAATTTGGCCAGGTCATAGGCCCAAACGATTAACACATATTTTCTGACCATATGGAATGACCAGTCCTATTCTCTGCACTAAAGTAAATCAAAGAGCAAAATGGAAGTCCATACATATTTGAAACTCACATTCCAGGAGAAGAAGAAGAGAACAAGGGCAGAATAGGGGAAGAGCTATAAGTGTAAGCTAAAAGTAAATAATAAAGTTAGAAGATTCTGAGTTGAGGGAAAAAGAAGAGAATAAAACAAAGCAAGGAGCAAAGGTGTGTTGGATATAGGTGTTTGCGAGTAGTTAAAACAGGATGCTCAGAGAGAACCTCAGAGAAAAACATGATCAAGAGCATGTCATTGTTTATCCAATACCAAATGATCAGCCCTGAAAATGGTTACATACAAATAACATTTCACAGACTGAGAAGGTTGTGTTTCAGTATTTAGGAATACACACACACTCACACACACACACACACACACACACACACACTCACACACATTTACACATACACAATGAGTATGGAAAGGCGGCTGTGAAATGGAAAGAAGGCAAGCAGAGCAGTGCATGGGAGGGTTTGGAAGGAGGAAAAAGATGGGGGAAATTGTAAGTGTAATATAATTTGAATTAGTTCAAGACCTTAAAAAGTTAATTTTATTGCTTTGAGGAAAGAGCATCCCATGTAGATGAGAGTTAGGTCAAAGAGGATAATTGTCATGATAATGGATCTCAAGTAAGCTATGGTGACAAATTTGAAAGGGTGGGAAAGTTGGCAAAAATAAAAAAAAAAACCACAGAGCACTCCTAGAAATCACCCCCCCCCTTTCTTGGATGGTCCTGCTTGCCTGTAAAGCCCCAGAACTCAGAAAATAAGGAAGAAGAAGAGTGAATTCCAGGCCAGCTTTGGCTATAGAACAAGACCCAGTCTAGGCAAATAAATATTTAAAAACTAGTTCCTGGAGGCTAATGATGTATTGTAAAGATTTATTGTTTATTCTGAAAGAATTAGGGAGCCATTGCAGGGTACTGAATAGAACAATGAGACACTATTAATTTCTACTATAAAATGATAATTTGGGAGTGGGAGGAGAAAATGTGGGTGGCAAGAACCCAACTGGAAGACCATTTTCATTTTCATGATACAGTAAGTGATGCCTGATGCATGGGGTAGCAAGAAGTTCTAATTTCTGAATATAGTACCAGGTAGATTCAGAAGGGTTTGTGATGGAGTACATGTAGAGTATGAGAGAAAAAAAGAACATGTCCAGGTCCTTTGAAAGTATTACCTGGAAGGAAGAATTTCCATTTCCACCAGGGAAGAAAGTTCATCAAGGAGAGTGCAGAGAAAAATCAGAACTTCGGT